AATAAGCATATTCCTTAGGAGATAAGGATTACAACAATAAAGGGGATGATTATCCTAATCCTATAATGATTAGGATAACTACAACATATGGATAAATACAAGGGAGGATAGTGACTGATGCTTGGCCGCCTGGTATGGTACTGATGTGGTCTGGTCCATTTCCGGATATGTCCCAACCACCATCTTCATTTCTTAACATGTATAAAGTACATTTGTTAGTTTGTCCAAAAAAAAAGTACATTTGTTAAAGTCCAATAGTATTGTCAAGAAACTGTTGGGTATATATAACTTAAAAAAAAAAAAAGAAACCAATCAATAAAAAAAATCGAATCCATCCACGCACAAAAGGTCATAAAGCCACACCCACATCAGTCACACCAGACGTAGCAGCAGAGAGACCACTGTACAGAGCACTCTGTTCTGACCCTTCTCTCTCTCCTCTTCAACATTGTCCAAAAATTAATAAAAATCAAAACTTTATTTTTAGTTTCCGTAATTAAAATCTTGGGTTTTAAGACTCACTCATCACTGTGTGCTCTCTTCTCAGAGGGTAAAGTTCCAAAGACATGAAGAAAAAACTCCTCTGAATTTATAGAACAAAAAAGCTCTTACCTTTATATCTCTCTGATGGGTGGTTTAATCGATTTGAACGTTACTGAGGAAGAAGAAGAAGAGGAAACACTCTCTTCAGCTTCTGGGTCTCTCTCTCCTTCTAATTCGTCTTCGTTAGCGTTTGCTCTAAGTGGGTCTTCTGGTGTTTGTCTTGAGCTGTGGCACGCTTGTGCTGGACCCCTTGTCTCTCTTCCCAAAAGAGGAAGCTTTGTGTTTTATTTTCCTCAGGGACATTTTGAACAAGCCTCCGATTTCTCCGCCGTGATTTACGGGTTGCCTCCTCACGTGTTCTGTCGTATTCTTGATGTTAAGCTTCATGTATGTCTTTTTATTAAAACCCTCTCTGTGTCTGTTTTTTATTTTTTAATTCATTTTGTTTGGGTAAAGTCTGTACCTTTATATTTTTTTTGTTGTGGTTTGGTGTTTAATAGGCAGAGAGAGATGGTGATGAAGTTTATGCTCAAGTCTCTCTTCTTCCTGAGTCTGAGGTGAGTGGCTTTCTTTTAGCTTTGAGTGTTGGAACTAGAGATAGAGACTGCTTTAGCTTAGAGATTGTTGTTACAGGACATTGAGAGGAAAGTGCGTGAGGGAGTTGTAGATGTTGATGGGGGAGAGGAAGATTATGAAGTGTTTAAGAGGTCTAATACTCCTCACATGTTCTGTAAAACCCTTACTGCTTCTGATACAAGCACTCATGGAGGCTTCTCTGTTCCTCGCCGTGCGGCCGAGGATTGCTTCCCTCCTCTGGTACACTACTTATCCATTCCTAGAAACTAAAAACATTACACTCTGTGGCTTCTGTACATTGCACACTATTATTCAGGGTTTTAGTTGTTTCTGTATAAGCTCATAGTGAGAGGTTTAACTCCATAATGTAGGACTATAGCCAGCCCCGTCCTTCTCAGGAGCTTCTTGCCAGGGATCTTCATGGCCTAGAGTGGCGATTTCGCCACATCTATCGAGGTAAACTTGTTGCATTGTCTTGCTCTCTGCTTCCCTTGAGACAGTAGATGAATTGTGTTAATGGTTTTGAGTGTCTTGTAGGACAACCTAGGAGGCATTTGCTCACTACCGGGTGGAGTGCGTTTGTGAACAAGAAGAAACTTGTCTCTGGAGATGCTGTGCTTTTCCTCAGGTAATAAGAAAACTTTGGCTTTTATTGTTGAGAGGGTTTGTGATATCGTGTCTTTAATTTAGAGGTCATGATGGCAAACTGCGTTTGGGAGTTAGAAGAGCTGCTCAATTTGAAGGCGCTTCTGCTTTCTCAACTCAGTATAATCAGAATATGAATCACAACAACTTCGCTGAAGTAGCTCATGCCATATCTACCAATAGCGCTTTCAACATTTACTACAACCCCAAGTAAGCTCCTTCATTTTCAGTTACATTTTCAGGATCACAATCAGCCTTAGTTATGTATTGTTCTTGTTGTTTGTCTCCTTGAAGTTATTACAATCCATTGCACTGATACTTGTCTAATGAAATTGCTATTGGTAAAACGGTAAAACCTTTTGCAGGTCAAGCTGGTCAAACTTCATAGTCCCTGCACCCAAGTTCTTGAAGATTGTTGACTATCCATTTTGTATTGGTATGAGATTCAAAGCGAGGGTTGGGTCTGAAGATGCCTCTGAGAGAAGGTTATAGCTCATGCTTCCAGAGAACTTAACAACACCTCTGTTTTTATTTGCCCATCTCTCTAAAATGTTTTGTTTTGCCTGTTTTGTCAGATCCCCTGGGATTATAACTGGAATCAGCGACTTGGATCCTATCAGGTGGCCTGGTTCTAAATGGAGATGCCTTTTGGTAAGCAATGAAAAATGTCACTTGGTTTGGTTTGAGAGATGACCAAAAAGAGTGTTGCTTGTGTCATATATCTGAAACTATGTTTGACTTCATATTCAGGTAAGGTGGGACGACAAGGAGGCAAACAGGCATCATCAGCGCGTTTCACCATGGGAGATTGAACCATCTGGTTCAGTCTCCAATTCAGGCAGCTTCATAACAACAGGTCCTAAAAGAAGCAGGATTGGCTTTACTGACATTCCTGTCTCTGGTAATACACATCTCATTTCTAACAGCTTAAATAATCTTCTCTAGCCTCTTCTTTAACACTTTCATTGGTTTCTGAATTCTGTTTCAGAGGGGATCCACGCCACAGACTTTGAGGAATCACTAAGATTCCAGAGGGTCTTGCAAGGTCAAGAAAAATTTCCGGGTTTCATCAACACCTCTTCTGATGGTGGTGCTGGTGCCAGGAGAGGCCGGTTCAAAGGAACGGAGTTCAGTGACTCTTATGGGTTTCATAATGTCTTACAAGGTCAAGAAACAGTTCCCGCCTACTCAATGACCCCTCATCAGCAGCAGGGGTTGAGCCAGGGGAACATATGGTGTGCCCCGTTTCAGAACTTTAGTAGCCGTATCCTCCAGCCATCTTCAGTTCAGGTGTCATCATCACCCTCTTCTGTCTTGATAACCAACTCGAACAGTCCTAACGGTGGTCTGGAAGATCATCATGGAGGTTCAGGCAGGTGCAGGCTGTTTGGTTTCCCACTGAGGGATGAGCCTACTGCGATGGTTGTCCCTTGCGTTGAAGGGGGGAAAGGTGTTTCTGATGTTCAAAGCAATCATCATCATCACTCACAGGGGAGAGACATGTATGGCATGAGAGATATGTTGCTAGACATTGCTCTCTAGCGTTATTTGGTTTTATGTGTGTTTGTTTGCTTGCTTGCTTGCGCCTTAAGTAAGTTCTATTTTTAGTTGATTTGTTTTGAAGATGACTTGCTAGCTTAACTTTCGGATGTTACAAGTTGATGACTTTTGTAAACTTGGTAGCTTCGTTCCAGAATGGTTTTTATTAAGTTGAAGTTAAAAAGAAGAATATTTTCTTTGATTAACGTTTCTGGTTCTGTGTGTTTTTTAGTGTCATGGTTAATTGAAACTCAAATGATTAAGTGAAATGTGAAAGTGTATTTTTTTCCCTAAATTATGTTTTTCTCCTTTTGACGGTTAACTTATGATTTAGACACACTGTTGACAGATGCCTATACAGATTTTAGAGTCCAAACCATCTAAAACAAAACAATTTTTTCAAATGACATTTCAAATTTTTTGGTATAAACGTTCGAAAATCAGTTTACGCGTCCACCTAAACAAAAAAAATCTTCGGTAAGACGTCTAACACTACTGAATTCTTGAACATTCATTGAAATCTTATGACGAAATTGAAAGAAAAAAAAAAAAAACTGGTAGCAGTCCAAGATTTGAGCTGGTAATCCGGTTATTTCCGGTTTAATCTGTATGTCACTGAACCGGAAGAGGCCCAACAAGGCAGCAACACAACAATCTTGTCTCTCTGCCTCTCGATCCTAATCCAAACCAAACAAAACTAAAAAAAAAAAGAACAAAGACAAAACAAATGGAGGAGACGACATGGGAACAGAGACTACAAGCTTTAACTCACATCCTCACAACCCCAACAACTAAACCATCTCTCCACTCCCAATTCTTCATCGGAACACTAATCCCATGTTACCTCTCGTGGGATTACCCTCCAATCCTCTGTCACTCTCCTCGTACACGTCTCCGTGAATGGTGGGTTTCTCAATTCCTCAAAAGGGTATCGAGATTCGGGCTTCCTGATACCTCGTGGAGGTCGAATTGCCCGTATTACCAGCCGTCGCCGGCGGTTATGGCCGCCGGAGTGGAGGAAGGGAAGTGGGGAAGAGAGGAGAGGAGAGTGTATGTGAGGAAGAGGCTGAGGAGGAAGAAGCTGGTGAGCGAAGTGAATCCTTTTATTCCTCTTTTGGTTCCGAATCTGCTTCTCTTTACTCTCTTGCTGTGGGATCCTATTCCTGAGTAGTTTGATTGGTTCTTCTCTGTGAAAATCTGTAAAAGAACGGATTTTTAAAGAAGATATGTGTGTTTTGTATTTAAGAAGGAAAATGGATTCAGACAAGAACTCAAAATAATAATCGTGTTGTCGTATTTTGCAAACAATAGTAGGATGCCGTATCGAACCGCTGTTAAATTGGTTTAGTTTGGTTTGATTTGATCCGGTTTAATTTTGCGATTCCATTTGTATGAGTAGCATCGTCGGGTCCCAATCGAAATTGGTTGGGATGTATGAACTTTACTTAGCTTTAATTATCGCATTTAAGTTTACTAATCATGTTTTATATTGATTTTTAAAACTATATTCCAAAATTAAAAAATAGATGTAAAAAACTTGTTTTTCAAAGCAATATATTTGAAGCTGTAGAAAAAATATTATTGTACCAATATTTTTTTCTGTATTTTTTTTCCGACTAAAACTGTTTTCTGTATTTGAGTTTAAAGATTATAGTAAATACAGTTAACTCAAAAATATTTATCGACGAAATTCTACAAAAATGGTTTTACAGATACACTTCAACTATCATACCAAAAAAAGTTAATGGTAAGACAACATCTTTTGTTTTTGGTTTAATTTAAATTAAAAAGAAGGTACATGACAAATTTTTCATTTAGTTAAAGTTAAATTATATTGGTATAATGGTTACGTATTTCATTGCAAATACGAGTAATTGTTTGTGAATTTTGATTTCTTCGGTATGGTATGGTATGATATGTATATCCATCCCTAGAAGTTTTTGTACTAGTCTCAGATCACTTATTCAAAGTATGTGTAATGTGGTCGTGAAGTCGGACTTTCCTTGGACAAGTAACCAAAACATTAAGAAAATAAAATAAACGTTATACGTTGTTGTTTGTTTAACAGAAACTATAAGTTGTTGTTAGTATCAAATATCAATTTTTGGTTGCTGAGGATTAATGTTTTTGGGAGGGGTCGATTCTCAATCATTGGCGATCTCTTAAACCCACCGACTCCTCATTTGTTAGTTCCAACAGCAAGTCATGATTCCAATATCCTCACACTACCTTGACTAAATCTAATTTATATGATTTGTTTCTTCCTTTTAAGAGATTTATGGAGGCGTTTATTAGATATCGTATTCTCGGCAGTTGAGATTTATCTTTGAGTATTGTCTGAAAAGGAGAAGTACCAACTCTTCCATACTGAGAGTCGCAGAAGTCAAATGTTGTTTGAAATGTTTGTAGCATTCATTTGTTTTAAGCCTATTAAGTAAAAAAAGTATGAAAATCTACGAACGATTTATTGATCATCACTCATCAGTCATCACGTATTGTTAGTGTGGGAATCAGACCAACAGTTTTTTTTTTTTTTTGAAACAGACCAAACAGTTTCTTAAATCTTGTATAGAAAAGAAAACATTTGATTAACAAATCTTATGTCTCTGGAGAAAAATAGGGTGGCTGATATTGTATAATCTAAGTTCGCTACTGGTTCATTTGTAATCATAAATATTAATGTTTTATGACTTTGGTTGTGTATGTGCAATTGTAGATTTATAGTTTTTCTTTTTAATTGTATTGTGATTTTACTTATCACACAAATATGACTGATAAGAGTTAGTAAGCATTCGGTGGCCAAGATATTTACTGGCTTAGCTAGTAGCTACCCCACAAGAAAACCGGTGGCCTCCTTTTAATTCAACAAATTTTCTTCTTCACTTAGATACGTGGAGTTGCTACAACATTTTAATTCTGCAGTTTAAGTAACCAGTACGATTTTCAACTTTTCAATGCATGGAAACAAACATTAATAATACGTAGCTAAACTGAGAGAGCATATACGATGGGCTTCACACCGGATTTATCTGACCATTTCACACACTAAAAGTCCCCATGGTTACAAATCTGTAAACCGTGCTAATACGCAATTTTGTTGTCGTTTTAGTATGTTCTCTTCGTTTCACTGACGTAACCATTCAAAAGCTAATTAAATATGGTGATCCCTAATCATATCATACTTTTTTTTTGAAAAGAGCTTCTTCCTAATTATATCTTTCTAAGCTATGATAAACTTCTCATGCCATACTCTTTTGATTGTTTTTATTTGATCATTACTCATTTCCTTCTTAAGCTGTCATAACATCTTAATATAAACTGTTTTGAGACTAATTTCTTTCGTTAACCCTTCCTCAAAAAGCTATTTATTTTCCTATTAATTTCGCAAGATTTTTTCTGATGCATGTAGGTTTGGTAAGTTGTTCACCAAGTGAATAATAGTTCATATTTTCCAAATATACAACAGAGTGAGATTATCATCTTAGAGTACTCCTAGTGTCTCCAGCCCCATATTCTTTTAAAGCATGGTGGCCTCTCTATCCATAACTATTTTAAGAAAACTACAAACACAAAAAATACACATTTTTCATCTCACAGTATTAGGTGCATTATCTTCTCTATTAAAAGAGAAGTACCATTTATATCTACTATAAAAAGTCATATTGGACCATCTTATTAATATGACATATTTAATTATTTATAATAATCAATCAAATATATATAATTGGAAGAATATTTTAAGATATTAGTAATAAATTTGTTGAGAAAATATCTAACAAGATCGTACTAAGAAGTTTAAATATTTGTTTTAGAAGATATGCATTATTTAATTTCATGATTAATATATATAAATATCTATATTAATGTTAATTAAAAATAAAAATTGTTATATTTTATAATTTAGTTATATTCTATATTATATTAAAATTTTTCTTATATTCAAATAAATAAATAAATATCACTCATTTTTAAAACATATTAAAGTTTTTAAATCATATAGTATTTTTATACAAAAAAAACTTAACATATATTTTTCTAACTCACAACAAATACATTATATCAAAAATTATATATGAATACTTTTTTTATTTTAAAACTTACAACAATATATTATATAAAAATAACTAAAATTATAAGATTATACAATTATACAATATATAACAATAGAATGTAAATCATATATATTTTTATAAAATGAAAAAAGACCCGCACGGATGTGCGGGTTCAAAATCTAGTTATTAATATTAACCTAACTAAAGGTTTGCTTTGTTACCTTTTTGATAAAAATAACCATATAGGCCCAAAAAGTCGAACCACCTCTTTGAAAAATATCCCATCGCAATGGAGACCCCAAGTTAACATTATCACCAATTCACCCCCAAGGTTTCCATCTAACCATTTAACAGTGTACATATATATGTGTGTGTTATTTGTTAAAGGTGTTAAATTAATTAAAAGAAAAACATCTAATATCTCCTATATATATACTAATAAACCCACTCACTATATCTCACAAACCACAACATTCACACCATCATGACTTTCTCCACTAGATCAGGACTCTTCTTCTTGTTCTTAACACTTCTTCTTTTCTCCAATCAACTCAACGCAAGAGACAGCTACTCATTTGGTAAGTTCCAGAGCCAATACCCAAATGAACAAAACCCAAACAATCTCCAGACCAACGAGACGAACGAGCAAGAAAACCAGAACCCTCCATTTATGCCCGAGACCGAAAACGGGTACGGATTGTACGGTCAGGAGACAACCTACAACAACAATGAAGATCAGTTAAATAACAAAAAGTACGACGACTCTTTCTCAACCCCAAGCCTAAGCCAAACCCAAGAATCTTACAAGACCTATGAAGATAACTATCCTAAGACGACAGAGAGTTACAACAAAAACAACAAGTACTCAAGCTACTACGAAAACTCCAACGGCTACAGGCCTGAGAAGGAGGCGTACACAAGTTATAGCAACAACGTGGAGAGACAAGAGATGAGTGATAAGAGTTACAAAGAAAACAACAAGGATTCGAGCTACGACGAAAACTCCAACGGCTACGGGCCAGAGAAGAGAGAGAAGGAGGGGTACAAGGGTTATAGAAACAATGTGGAGAGACAAGGGATGAGCGATACGAGGTTCATGGCCAACGGTAAGTACTACTATGATCTTGACGACGACAGAAACCACGGCCGTTTCTACCAGAAGCATTACTACAACTACAAACCCACCAAATACAATGAGGACTCAAGCTTCAAGAATCCATATAGTTCCAAAAACATGATGAATGAAGAGACCGAGATGTTTGGGGAAGCGCAAGGAGATCAGTTCACTCCATGACCATGCTTGGATAAACAAATCATAAGTGTTTGCTTACGTATGTTCGATTTTTTTTTAAAAGTAATATAAGTTATGATGGTTTATAAGTATCAAAACTATATATCGTTTGCATATAAAGTTGGAAGAATAAAGATATATGATATGATTTTCATGTTAATTTTCTGATGTTTGATTCAATCATATATTTTAATATAAATTAAAAATACCAAGAATCCAAACATATATGAACAAAATTACATTAATATGACGTTCAAAATAAAGAGAGAACATAATTAATTAGTTTTGTATGTATTTGCCATTAGCTCGCCCGCTAGGTTTACTATACATGGTCATTGTTGATACTTGATAGATTAGGCCTTCTCTTCTTTAGGCTTAGCCTTCTTGTTGAGTACTTGTTAAGCTTTTTCTTCAAAACCTATTGTTTCTGATTCTGGTTCCTTACCCCTACATTTGGATTTTTAAGATATTCAGAAGGTAACATTCTACTTCTTATGCATTTACGAATAGTGATTTGGTATGAAACTTGAAAGCTAGTGGTAGATTATGTTGTCATCTAATGCTCCTACAGTTTCCTAATCTTGTTAGAGTAGTTGATAAATCGAGGGGAAACTGTGAATTTGACAATCTTTATCTACTCCAGAACTTTTCTTATGTCAGTGTTTCACATGAATGCTAGTAGGAGTTAGACACTTTCATGAATCCTGCAACAAGTCTTTTCGTCCTTTCATTATGCAAGTTATGTGCTCTGGATACTGTCAGGTTCTATTTCCTCTGATATCATCAGTAATGCATCATGCATGATGATTTCCAAATTCAGAATGATTGCAGTTTTAAAGGCAAGATGATGAAGTGATTTTTTCACTTTTAACTATGTCAAGCATCTTAAGTGACGGTAAATGGAACCATGTTTCTTCTTAGGTCATAAGATCTACTTTTAACCTTCACGGTTGTACAATAGATTTGTTACGTACCCGAATAGTTCAGCTCCGGATGAAACAAAAAACAGACAAGTT